CTTTTCTGTACGTAAACCTCACAATTTATTTAAGCTGTAAGCAGATGATGAGAAGCCGACGAAATAAATGATGGTACCATATTATTCTGCACAAACCACTGTTGTTTTTGCTTTATTTAAATATTGAAACTGTAGGATCTGTGCAACAATTATTCAACGTCTCTGTTCACCAATAATGAATATTATACATTAGTCAAACACAACACATAAATTCATTTTCCCTGAGAGCTGTGTGAAATTGGCCAGAAAATAAAAGTAAGATTCGATTCAAATCCTAGAACACCCACTGAAAAAAAAGATAGTTTAGAACAATGTATCGTAAGTCTTAAGTTAGATTCAACATTCTTTGGATCTGTCGGCCTGATATAATGGATATTCATATAAGACAGACAAAAACGAATACCCTGGCTTGGAATTGCGACAGTCCCAGTTTAAAGTACTTACTCAAGAGACGCAAGGAAGGAGAATGGGTTTCTTTTGTTTTTGAAAGACCTGTTCTAATTGAGTTATTTAAATTTATTATGGGAAATAATTTCATGAAATCTGTTACTTTTTAATACAGTAAGTAAAAATACACAGTTAAGCTCATTCTAAACAATCAGTTTTTGTAGTATTGACAGAAATAGCATTCAACAGGTTTTGAACAGTTTAAGTTGTGGATAACTTATCTCCCATAATAAAAGTAAACTCATTCATTTTCGAATGTAGTTTCTGCTGTACTCTTACACTTCACAATATCTTTTTTTGCGATGACTCCACATATCCTTCAGAATAGTTTGTGATCATTTATAAATGGTGGAATCGCGATAACTTTCATGAGTAATCAAAATATTATTATTTATTGTTGTTTCCTTTAGTTCCTAGAGGAAGATAGGGCTTCAGCAGCACGTTCTCCATTGCGTTCAGTTCTCTGCCAACGTTTTTCACCTGGCTCCACGTCTGCCTACATGCTTTCATCTGCTCTTCACATGACCTCCTCCATGACGGCCAACTCGCCACTTCCCGTCCGGGCTCCACTCGAGAACCTGTTGTGTGATGTCACTTGATGGTTTTCTCACAATATTAATAAATCTGAAATTTGTTGACAGGCGCCATATCTCCAACAGTTTCCAGCCACTGGTTTTCAGCATCCAGAGGACCCCGACCAGACAGTCTACACCTCCGTACGTGGCTCATACTATTTGTGAAAGATTTTTCAGTTGGATTTATAAATTTCATTTTATTCTTCAGTCGCTTTAAAATGTTTTACATATTCTCTGCATGTTCTGATCTCAAATTCCTCCTTTCCACTGCATTTCTATCAAGTTGATTAGTCATATATACAGAAAGAGAAATCGTAATAAGCTTCAGATATTCAGCATATTTTAATCATACTAAAATTTCATTCTGCTTTGAATACTACACCGAATATTTGTTTGAACAAAATGTTTTTACTTTCTTTCGTCTATCAGTCAATATTTATTAAATAATTTTCAATCGAATTTTACTAGGTGTTTGGCAAACATTTGCATGGATAATGTAAATATACTGGGGGTGAATTCATTTTCTGTTTCAGTAATTAAGACGGTTATTTGGTTGGTTGAGGAATAGATTTAATGAGGAAATCACATGATTTTCAATGGATTTGTAAAATGAGGGAAATACAGATAGCATTCTCGGCAGTGAGTTGTATACATTATCCGTTGGTCTGAAAATCTGTAATTCAGCACAGACTATTTAATAATGAGATGGTCACTAGCGACTTGCCCTATTCAGGTAGTTCTAGTGAGAAGTCGTGACCAGTAGGGTGCAGAAGGTCGGGTGTGAGCACAAATGCTCGCCGAAGACATTGACTAGTGGTCGCGCTATGTCGTGAATTGGCAGAAGTTAGAATTCATGGGCTGGTCATTGGATAGGGGCTCAGTGGCTTAATGGTCTACGAGCACGCTAGCCTTTTCACCAGAAGGTCCTGAGTTTGAACTCCATGATGTGGGTGCGTACTGATGAAGAGTAGCAGACTAGAACGAAATAGCTGTCCAGTACTCCCTGCAGGTTTTTCAATGTTTCTCTAACTGATGTCAGCTCATGATGAAATCCTGTAACCAATCAATCAAATCCCTACAAACTAATACTTTAATAGACTTATTTTGTATGTTGATGTGCAACATATCATACAAACGAATGTTTGACTAGAAATTCTAGCATATAGCAGCAGATTTCCTGTTAGAATATGCAAAGATTGAGCTGCATTGACCGTCCATCAATTTCTTATAGCTAGCTACGCTAGATATTGCAATACTAATTCCTTTATTCTAAATATTCACTTCTTCTAGAATGGTCCAAAGAATCCAATAATAAATATATAATTAGAAAAGAAGATTTTGGTGTCATAATGTGGATGACAGCAAAATCTTCTCTGGAACTAATCAACAAAAAGCTTATTAAGCAATTGAAGAATGAGGAGGACCAGTGTAATTATTGTGTCATGAAGTTATGTTTTTTCTGTCTGTCTGATGATTTATTTATACTACAAACACTGCATTTGACTGGTAGTCATGATTGTGTGCAGCTCTTGTTTTTTTACTTCAGCTAATGGCAACATAATAATGTCCATCGTCTTTTACACGTCCTTCAATTAATTAACGTGATGTTTTAGAGTGAGTATCGAAAACACTTTAAATAATTCACTTCTTGTAGCCCTACTTCACTCTCTGTGCATGGATATTTTACAGTTGTTACCTATACCGATTTATACGATTATTATTAGTGTCATGCACCGGCTATGAATTCACGATTGTCACTTATTCCCTGTACACCTAAATCAAACCATAATCGAGCAGTGTTTTGATTGGCAGTTTGTGTTAGCTTCCTCCCATCGCACTGCGCAGTCATGTAGGCATAAATCTGATCAATACTGTTTGTTTCGTATTATTGAAATTCACCGAGGATACACCGACAAGCAGTTATTTAAAACTAAAAAAACAAAACGGCAGTGGGAGTAGATAGACCATAAGATGATAGAAATGACATCAGATTAATTATCATTCATCTTTATAGGACAGCTACATCAATTTCACTGGTAAATAATTTCCAAAGTACAGGAGATTAATGGGGAAAAGTTTTATCTGTATGCAATTCATTCCCTAAGAGTCTGGAAGTCTTGGAAGTCATACTGAAGCGGTCCGTCCAGCCTGTCTAGCGACAGTTTACTAGTTTTGTTTTTGTGCAAACGTGTTAGATAATGCAGCTGAAAGTGAGTAGTCATCCTCTTATCTTTCACTTTCATCTGCTCCATCCGTTTCAAAGCATTTCAGTATGGAAAAATGAAATTGGTTACAACTAAGCTGCATAACTACTCGGTGTTAATGTTATTCACAAGAGCTATGAATTGAATGAATAAAGAATGATGTTTCAAAAGCCATTTAAACTGGTAGACATAACATCATTACCTATGCCAAACTATTAAATGGCGAGAATTTGAGAAACTTTCTTTGTCTACATTTATTCTTAACGTAATAATCTACGGAAAACATTTATTTGTATAAGTTCCCATTATACTGGAGAAACTACTTTAACTTTGTTTTATTTTATAGCCATATTTTTTATTGTGAAGGAAATAAAACCAATGCATTACATAGTGTTTTTGTGTCAGTGCTTCTTTTGTGCTGTTTAACTGGAAAGATATACAATGATGATTGATAATAGAATATAAGTAATGCGTTTCTCTGCATAGCATTCGATAGTTCAAACTTCTAAGCTTCCCATGCCAATTTTCTAGTGTAACCAAATGTCTGTATACCAGGATAACCGAATATTATGTCTGAACAGATCAGCGATGGGAGATATAAATTCAAATGCCTTAATTTTTACTTATTTTTATTGTGGCTTGACTCCACACAGTATTTTTGATACAAGTATGGAATTTTCAGCATGTGATATTGTAGCCCAAATTTAGCAGGCCGACAGGTGTGCGTCAGCTGGGGCTCGAACATCGGACCATGTGCATGGTCGGCGAGCGTCCTAACCCCTGTGCCACCGACGCATAGCAATCCGTTAACCTTGAAGCCTTCGTGTAACTAAGCAGCCTTTTTTCCAAGGTAGATAGGTTTAACAGTAGGAAATGCATGTTGGTCTTGTTGAAAACTTACCCTTCTCAATCTCTTGTGTTCCAAGAGTAACATAGTACTTTAGCTGTGAAGTCTCATTAACAGTTGCATTACTCTTTTTACGGGAGTGGAGTTGCTCCCCTCTTTATCGGTCTTACTATCAGCTAAGCCAGGTTTAGAAGTGCATCAGCCGGGGTTCGAATTCCCAGGCCACATTTATGAAAGCTTTCAAACCTACAAATATGCAACTGCTTTCTTTGAATTAAAAAGATGCTGTAGGGTCCACTGCAACTCACTCCCGTTGCTTACAGCTGTTTTTGGCAAATTTTTATTGGATTATAGGCAGGTTCCAATGAGAGGGTAATAAAATGAAGTGAGACCATTCTACTACATATATCTTCTATTATTTATTGGGAACGATTAAGTCTTTTTTACGGCTTTGTAAACTAAATATCATTGACACTTATATTAGAAAACCAACTGCCCTCATTACAATGA